ATGAGTGTAGCATCGGGATGAGCTTATATCTTTAAAAATGTTAATATTTCACAAAATATTTGTCAAATTGCACTGTACTTTCTTAACTATTAACATTTTTAAAGATATAAGCTCATTCCGATGTTACACTTATCAAGAGCTTTCATTTGAGTACCCACATGCATTTTTGATATATTTTTCATATATACATATGACATATATATAATATATATAAATATATGAAAAAAATTGATGTGGGTAATCAAATGAAAGGTCTTGATGAGTGTAACATCGGGATGAGCTTATATCTTTAAAAACGTCAATAGTTCACAAGATCATAGTTCACTAGGTCATTTCTTAGTTATGTATCTAGAGATAGAGCATTTTAGAATGCAGCCTAAATATTTATCAAAATAAATCAACTATTGGTGAGAATGATATGAAACCTTGAAAAGGTACAAATTCAAATCAAGACCTTTGCAATAGCACAAAATTTTTCTCATTCTCTTAACAATATAGATAAAAATAATAATAATAATAATAATAATAATAATAATACAAACCATATATTCATCTTGATATCCTTGATCAGCTTCAGGTAGGCCAGTTGTAGGATCACAATCCCGTGCGATAAATTTAAGAGTAGCTGGCGTTGACATAACACTAGAATTAATATCCTCTGGATATTGTAATATAGTGTAAGTTGTACCCGGTTCATTGTATGTTAATCTCGGGCAAGGAATTTCCCCAATAATAGTATAACCTTCAGGTGGTTCTATAGCAACACTAACATCCTCCAAAACTAAATCAGACAACGTATTCAAACAATCAAATTGTAGAATAAGAAAATCACCACAAGAGTGTTTAATACACTTGACATTGTACTCAGTTTCAGACTCAGTAAGTTCAAAAGTAGCTGATGATTTAAACAGCGGTGATTTTTTAAGAATCATCATCAATTGCGGAACTTGGGACAATTTTTCAGTGAAATGCTCTTCACGTGACAGCCTCGGCTGAGCCGGTCTTGTAATTAATTTTATCTCCGCAGGATTTGTTTCTTGAATAGTCTGACCAGGTGGAATTTGACTTATATCAAACGGTTGATCCATAGGTGATTGAATATAATTATGTAAAGCGCGTTCTAGACTTGGAATAGACAATTGCGGTGGATGAATGAGCGTAGACAACGATGAAGAATCATCACGTTCTTTAAGAATTTTACAGTAATAGGCAGCACGATCACGTACTTCATCATCAGAATCTAATTGACAGCGTGATAATAAAACAAGTACATTAGGAAGTAAATCCGGACAAACTGCTGCAAAATGAGCAAGCGCAGCCACAGCAGCAGCTCTAACACTGGCGCTTTCAAGAATAACTCGATTGTAAATAAAACGAATGTGCCTAGAAGGATTTTTAGATGTCGGTCCTTCTTGCCCCAAAAGATGCAGAATTCTAACAGCAAGTGAAGTATGCTCACAGTCTTCAATAAATTCACACAAGTGAGCAAGACCAGCTTCTTTAGCTTCAGCATTGCCTTCCATGACTGCAATAATTGTGTCAGCAATAGCCGCCTTATATTCCAGCCCACCTTCATCTCTCAGCATTGCTGATAAAAAGTTCATTAAAACAGAATGCTTCCGAGGGAACTTTTGACACAATGCTCTAATTGCTTGTACCACAACAACTTTAAATTCATCTGAGATTTCTGATACAAATGTTGCTATTTGCTTCATCAAACGATCCACAGAACTTTCAGCTCCTGTTTTTAACAATGTAGTAATCGCCAGAGTTGCTATAGAACGATTTGAATCAGTGATCAAATTTTCAAGGTCTAAATTACAAGCTGTAACAGCAGCTGGATGAGTCATAGCTACTTTATTTAATGTACGTACAGCAGCAAATCTAAGTGCAGCTTTTGGAGAGCCACAGAATAATTGAAGCACGCTTATTGCAGGTGCAATTTCACGAATTCCGCTCTGGCTTAAATTAACCAAAGCATGAGCGGCTTCATAAACAACCATTTCTGATTTATGTCTCAAGCACGCTTCTATAAATTCAAGCAATTCAGTATTTTCATTATTTGTCTCGTCTAATAATTTACAAGCCATTCTTATCAACATACAAGTTGCGTACGGACTTTTTTGGATATTTTTTATTAATTTAGCAACTAATTTTATAACTGCGTGTTTATCTGATTTTCTGGCTTGATATAAAACACCTAGAGCGTGATATTGTACCATAACATTGTCGGAATTAAGTGCCTCTTGGGCTTCATTAGCCCACCTGCGAGCAATATCACCAGAAACATTGCTTAAGTGAAGGGATGATACTAAAGCAGCGCTTGACACTGCTGGGGATTTATCAACAATTGCTTGCTTCATGTATCTTTCAATTGCAGCCAACATTCCACCATCTGTTATGGTACACAAAGCACGTATTGCTGCTGCTCGGTATAAATCCTCTTTGCCAGTCATGTCTTTAGTTAAACTGGACGTTACTATTATTACATCTTCAGCTACTTGGCTTAGCTCTTTTATTCCCAAGTAAACTAAGCGACGTAAAATTACATCTCGGGATTGAAATAATTTTGTCATTGCAAAAAATGCTTCTGTGGCTTCCGTTGTACCTAGCTGCTCGCCTTGGTTTAATAAATACAATATTTTTGTTAGTATGTGAGCACATTTTCGGGGATTTACAGGTGTGTCATTGAATGTTCGAGCTTCTTGGAGCACTGTTGTTTTTTCCAAATTTTGAAAAGGATTTCCACCTCCTAAAAATTGTTATTATTAATATTACATAAAAATTTATGTTTGATAATTTTAATTTTAATTATAATATATTTTAGAGTTCATGCTGAGAGAAATGTCAAACAGACGTGGATTAATTTTTAATATATTTTGTAGGTAATAACTATTTAATAAATAAACTTACCATCTTCCTCTTCTTTTTTATCACGTTTAAAAGCATTCATTTTGGATTTTTTTATGTTAAACAATTATATTTATTATTACTTTTTTTTGTTAATTTAAAAACATTGCCACGTCACCTGAGTGGTACAAATATTCAACATTTAACAGCCCCGACAGCCATTATCGTTGCATTTCAGTTTCTTTCTTTTTTTTTTTTTTTTTTTTATGTCATCAGTTTACTATTGAGGAGTGGGAATTGTTTATCTATTTGAAAGCGTTCGTAGCGCGCTCTATAGTTAGGAAATTGAACAGACCAACTTATCTGCTGCTGAAAATAAAGTCAGCTGTCATTTAACAATTTTTAATTTTATTTAATTAATAAATTTATTCTAAAAAATTACATTTTTAAATTTCTACATGTCAAAATTTTTTTGCACTAATTTATTTCTTAAAACAAATTCTAAAAATTATTAAATATATATCTGCTTCTTTAATTTTCATGCTGCCAAATAGTCTCTAATCTTGGAAATTCAGTTAAAAATTCAAATATCTGAAGAAATAAAAAAGTAATAAACTCTTAAAAGCATAAAAACCTTGTAAAAAATGCGAAAACAATCAAAAAAATTTTTTTGTTTTCAATTTATAAAGAAATCATCAGATTCAGATGTCTGTTGTTTTATCTGTCAAAATTTATTTACAAATATTTTTAAGTTGTTTTAATGAAAAAAAAAATTTTTTCTATGAAATTAATGAAGATAAAATTGATAAATATAATTTGATGGATAGAAAAATATTAACTATTGCAATAATTTTTCATATTATCTCATGGAGTATTTCTTTATACTTGTATTATTATTATTTTAAAAATTATAAGAGTCAATCAAAAAATTCTTGCTTCCTTGAAAACTTTTTTTAAAATACGACAAAAAATAATTATTATAATTATACTTTTCTGGATTAATACCAAATGTCAAATTTATCTAATAAAACTTCAACAGATCCCGAAGAAAAAGTTAAGAAAAAGTTAAGAAAAAAATTATTAAATTCAGACCAACTCCTGGTCATGATCCAAGGTAATTATTTTCATTACTTTAACAATTAATTTTTTTAAAATACTTATAATAATATTTTAAAGGTTCCAACAAACAAATCAATCACTTAGATGCTACGTAATGTATACAGATTTTTATCGATGTGAAAAAATTCTTGGAGAAAATGAAAAAGCTTGTCAATGGTTTAAAGATACTTTTCAAGCTTTGTGTCCAAAAGATTGGATTGAACGATGGGACAGTCTTAGAGCGCTAAATCCTCCCAAATTTTATTGGCATAAAGAGAGAACTCAAGGAAAATTTCCAGGAAGGTCTTATGGAGATTAATATATCTTAAATTAATTCCTTACTAAAATCTAAATAAATAAATAAATAAATAAATAAATAAACATATTTTTTAAAAAAAATATTCAACTTTATTACACACAGGTACAGAACGTGTATTTTTATGAGGTATATATGTCTGATATTAACACTATTCAAAAACACTATTTCTTTCCAACGAGTCTAATTAAGTTGATATTTTACCGTTTCATTTTCGTTTTTTTTTTTTTTTTACTTTCTACTCTTTCTGATTCTAATTATATTGACATTTACGTTGGTTTATAAACTATATATAATACACACGAACGTCTTCTATAAAAGATCTTTTCACATTTTATTAAACAAAAAAAAATATTTTTTAAAATTAATAATCAGCACGTTTCAAAAAAAACTAAAAATGAAATAATAATTAACGTAAAACGAAAGATATTTTTTTTTTTTTATTAATTTCTAAATATTAGTTTATATTTCCACTGAATATAAACCCGGAAAAAAATCCGAAGTTATTTTTTTGTTCCTGAAAAAAACAACTTACCATCCGTAGACAGATGGATGAGTCAGTATCGCCGGATTATCATCAAGTATAAAACTCTCTTCTATAATTAAATTCACTAATGTATCTGAAATAAATTAATTACAGAAAAAAAACCATTAAGTATTAATTATAGGATCAAAAATTAGTAAACAACTAATGAGCTTAATAATTAATTTAAATTGTTCAAATAAAATTCATTAATTACTAAACTAAATAAAAAAGAAGATTTCTAAGAAGTTAAAGTGATTATAAAATAATAATAATATTAATAAATTAAAGATTGTTGATATAATTTAGACTATAGAACCATCTTACGTATCAAAAAATAGTTGAAATCTTGGATAATTGTAGCAATAAATGCTACGTCGTAGACCTATGATTGAGATGAGCATATGTACAAGCGTCGTCCTTACACGTCCCTTTTAATTCAAACGGACACAAAACAGCATTTGGATCCAAATTTCTGTATAAAAGCAATAAAAAAAGACGAGACATGTCCTCAGACCAATAAACAATACAGTAATATTCAAATAAAATTAAATAAATAAATAATGTTATTTGAAATTTTTAATTCAAGTGTATGTAATTTACTCACCTGGTTGGATTTAAAGCTGGTAGAATAGACTCATAAGATTTTACTGGTTGAGATAGTTTAATTTTTTTTTCACATTCTTTCCGTCTAGTTGATAAATTATCTCCCGGTATTTTTGATGAGCTATCAGTAATATTTACACTGGAATTACCACCAGAGGAAGAACTGACTTGAGAAGTTTGTACAGTCGGTTGTATTAACGAAGAAATATTATTAACAGGCGGTGCATTGGTAAACACTGGTAATGTTAAATTATTATCATTATTATTTTCAGTCTTAGGTTCAATGGAATTAATATTATTTTCTTGTGGCATTGGTTCCGGCATTGGATACGATTCTTCAGGTAATGTTGGATCTATTGGAGTCAAACGTGACTCTAGTTCATTAAGATCATCGGGTTTTTCATCTTGTTCGTTTTTGGCAATACACTCCATTTCTATTTGGTTCAATTCGCTCTCTAAATTTGGATAAGATATTGTAAATTCTGAATCAACTGGTAATGATTCTAATTCAATATCTATTATTTCTTGCTTAACAGTTACTTCTGTTTCAATCCCTTCTGGATTTTTATTATTATTATTATTATTATTATTATTATTACTATTATTTATTTCTTTTTCCGGTCTAGAATTTGAAGTACCAGATGTTGTTTCTGTTCTGTCATTCTCAACATTTTCAGTTTTAATAACTATTGTCTCATCATTACCTGATTGACCGTCAACACTTGTTACTGTATTAGTAACATTATTCGAATTTTTTTCATTAGATAAATTCACTTGTGATACATCTGAGTTTAATGGCTCAGTACTATTTTCAATTTTCACTTCCCCTAATTGTTCATTCAATTGATTATTTATTTTTAAATTATACAAATCATCAGTATTACAAGTGTCTTTAGATGACACTGATGATTGATCATCATTAGACTGCTGATCACTATTATTACCAATATCAACCGACCCGGCTTTTTTTCTTAATCGTTTAATACGATTTGCAACTTCTTTCATTGCCTCTCTAGACAACTGATTTCCAACTGGTGGTACTCTAAAACAATTAAAAAAAATTTTAATAAAAAAAAATAATTATATAAATAAATAAATAAATAAAATAATACTGTACTTGTAATCTTTTCCTACAACAATCAATCCCATTTCAGTACAAATGCGAGCATGATTGTTACACTCGTTTCGTCGATCATTAACAATACTTTTATTAGTCATTATTTTACCAGATATACCAGTTAATTTTTCTTGTTGTACTTTCAACCGTTCCTCTGCTAATTTCAACTGAGCTCTCAATCTTTTTACTTGAGTAGACAAATCCAATTGAATTTGACGCTCTGTTTCTAATTCTTGCAAATTTTCAGTTAAAATATTGTACGCATCCAGCTCCATTTGTCTAAAGTAAAAGAAAAATATTAATCAAATATTTATTTAAAATACATATTTAATTATAATAATTAAATATTAATAGGGCAGCCTATGGCGTTAATTTATGTCTACAATTACTTAAATTTTCTTCTTACAAATTTGTTACTTTTTTTTTTGTCATTTTTATTTTTATGTTTACCTACTCGAGTAATTATGAAGGGATTGATGCAATCCGAATATGTTATTTATTTTTTTTTTTTTTTTTGGTTATCTTGTCAATATAAAAATAATTTTAAGAACAATTACTTTGTAAAGATTATAAATGGCTACGGCTGCTGGGTTTGGTTGTTTATAAATAAAAAAAAAATAAAACTTACTTTTTCTCCGTGAATTTACTTTCCATCGTAGTTAATTTACTTTGTTGCTCCTCAGAAGAAAGTAATTTATAATCATCAATAACTATTTTTATTTCAGCATTAATTCTTTCTAATGGGCTCTCTGTTGACTCTGAAGAAGTACCAGTAGCAGTATTTACTGTATCATCTTTAGAAACTTGACTTGAATTGTCAATTAATAATTCCAAATTATTTGTTCTATTATCAGAGTTCAAACTCTCTGAAATCACCACAATACTTGCATCAAATTTATTTTCATCTTCTTCTTCTTCTTCTTCTTCTTCTATTGTCATTTCATTAATTAAATTATTATTATCACAAGTGGGCAAGATTTTTTTATTATAATTGAGCATAACATTGTCATGTTCTTGTTCTTTACTAGTCACTGTTTCTGTAATTCCCGTTACTGTCGCCGTAGTCATCGTCGTCGTCTCTATTGTCACTGGTTGATCAGTCCGCATATTAAGCTGATCAGCAGTTAATATTCTCAAAGTCGGAGCAGCAACTTTTCCCCTCATATTAACCTGATCAGCAGTTAAAATTCTTAAAGTCGGTCCAGCTGCTTTCTCTTGAGGCTTAACAGGTTCTGATTTTTTATCCTGATCCTTTTTAATAACATTTACTTGTCTACGTGATGATACATCAATATCACGAGTATTAGAAATTTGAATAACAAGTTTATCAAATTTATTATTCCCTGATACATCATCAGCAGAAACTATTGGCCAATTAATAACATTTGAATTAGTTTTAACGACAGGAGATTCTGTAATACTAGCTATAATATTTGGATCAAC